TGAGAGCAAGCCGGGCTTGATTGGGTCTGGGGGGTGCAGGTGGTGGCTCTGGGCCTCCCCCTGCGTCTGAGATGAGAAGGTTGTGGTGAGAGCACCCCTTTAAAAACAGCCTACCTGCTGACAGGTCTGCCCTAAGGGCCCCATGAGATCGCTAGGGCGAGAGGAAAGCCGCCTCTAAGGGAAGTAGGGATTCAGCTCTGGGTTGTTTAGTGGCCCCAGGTGGGAAACCGTTTCTTCTGGCCCATAAAGCAGCCATCTGTGGTGCTGTGGTTTACTCCCTGTGATCCTCTGAGGGCTGGGAGAAGCGGGCCCAGGCAGATGTGCTGGGGGGTGGGGAGGTGTTATGCACCAGACTCCAGGGAAAATCCTCAGGATGCCTTTACAGATTCCTTTGTCACATGAGCAGGTGCAGCCCTCAAATCCACTCTGCCCAGGGGACGTCAAGCCTGTAGATAGGGGACGGGTCAGAATCTCAGAGGAGAGGTCTGGGCCAAAGACATGTAGAGCAGGCCCTTGAGTAATGTTCTTTCATTTGGCGTCGTTTTGTTATGATGCTTATGAGATGCCGCAGGAACTTAACTCGTTTACATCAATGGTAAAATTGGTTTCATTATAGGTCACTTCACTTCAAGTCTCAGAACCTATCGAAGACGGTAGGTGAGGACTTAGTGTGCATGAGGGTGACTGCAAGCCCTGCTGGGGGCAGGCAGGGGGCCTCCAGGCTCAGCCGGGCCCAGGGAGCAGAGATCAAGGGTCACCGCCTCTGTGAAGTGAGAGGCGGACTGTCCACAGACCCCCCTCACTCTTGACACTGGTGGGGAGTTTAAGGTCCCCACGACCACCCGTAGGTTCTCTCACTCATGGAAGGACTTACAGGTCTCTCGGGAAGCCGTTCACTCACGGTAACGTTTGTTAAAGGGAAAGGATACCAATTAAAATTGGCCAAGGAAGAGGCACATTGGACACTTGCGTTTCTTTCCCCAAGAGGTTTCTGTGGCTGCGGGAGCCTGCTCTGCCCAGACTTGAACCAGAGAACTAATGTCCCCAGGAGCTCCCCTCAAACAGTGACCGATGGGGCGATGGGGGTGGTGCATGCATGTCCCAGCTCCCTTGGCCCTCGGTGGGTGCTCTGAGTGCTCTACACTGGCTCCCGGAGTTGCCCAGCAGGATAAGCTCCAGTCCCCAGGGGTGGTAGCTGGTTGATCACACCCCTTTCCTGGGCTCCCTCCCCTCCCCCATCTCACATTCTCTTCACCGGGACTTCCTGGAGTCCTCTCCCTCCTGGTCTCAGGGGCTGCTTCTGGGGACCCCACAGTGAGGCCGAGATAATAGCATCAGCCCTTTACCAGGCCCTGGTTATGCCCCAGGCAGCCCCGGAAGCTTGACAAGAAGCCATTGTGCCCCTGGCCACCCTGAAAGGAGGGGTCACCGGACACGCTGGACTTGTGAGGACATCGAGGCTCAGCGAGGCCTTGCCAGGGGCCCAATGCAAGTACACTGGGCTCAAGACTGGACCTTCCCACCATACCAGAGGCAATGCTCTCAAGAGCAGGGACTGGAACTGGGTGTGAGCTGCCTCTACTCAGCCCATGCTGGCAACCAGCGCCCCCAAATGGCAGATGCTTGGAAAGCATGTTTGGCCCATGCATACTAAATCCCCACTGGGGCTGAATAAACCCTTTGTCTAGGTTACCTAATGTCATCATTATAACAGCCCTGGGAAGCAGCTACTGTTATAACATGCCTTATTTCATAGATGACCCTGAGGGGAGAGGGACCTGCCTGAGCCCACGTGGCTAGTACTGGAAGGAGCCCGAGCCCATCTCCAGTTCACCGCAGGGATGGATGATGGTGGCAGACAAGCGAGCTAAAGGAACGAGTGCGGAGGAGGGGCAGCCATGGCTCACCCTGCTGGCAGCTGGGTGCCCGCGCATCGTCCCATCTTGAATGTGTCTGTCACACACAAGGTAAGTGGGCCTATTCCTTGTGAATTATCTGCTAGCCGGCAGCTCCATCCATCTGCTCATTAACACAATAAAAAATCAAATCAAATCAAAGGAGCCTTCTGGTTCCCAGGCCTGGGGTAACCAGCTACATAACTTGGAAACGACCCTTCAGTGAGTCTGATCGAAAGCTGGTTGTGTGGTAGTTAGAAACCACGGCCTCTTCCTCCAGGCTGGGAGCTCATAAACAACAGCTGGATGAGCTTTTTATTTGGGTTGGACCAAAAACCTCGATGGATCAATTTCCTCCTAATTTACACCTGTTCCAGAGGGGAAAGCAGTAGGAGGCTGAGTTTTTGCTCTGGGAGACCCATTGGCTCTGTGTCTGCAGCAAGCAAGAAGTGAGGGTGGGGGGCATATATTAAAATGAGCCCACGAACTGTCCATAAACCAAGACGGACAAGCCCCTTAGAGCTCAGGCACCAATGCCAGGTCCAGGGCTGAGCGGAGAGCGGAACCCCTTATTCTTCCACTGAGGTCCCCACAGCAGCGGGTGGGAAAGAGGAGTGTGGTCAGGGTCAAACACGAGACCGCAGATGGCACTGACCGTCCAAAGATCCCGTGGGCAAAAGAGGGTGGGCAGCAGGGGGCTCCAGCTAGAGGACCAGGTGCTTCCTTCACTGATCCAAACAATAAATATTTATTGAGGACCTACTATGTGTCAGCACTGTGCACGGGCATGAGATGGTGAATAAAAAAGACGGTGCCTGCCTTTAAAGACCGTACAGGCCAGTGAGGATGATGGTCCACCCCAGCGGAGAAAGTAAAGTCCAGAGCAGGAGAGGGTGTGGGGACACCTCCAGAGGAGGAGCGGGGGGTAGAGGCCGCGCAGACCTCGCCTCCAGAGCTGAGGGCGGAGGAGTCCCCACCCCCCCAGAATCTGGGAGGATCCTGCAAACCGGAGATGTGCCCGCTGATCCAGCTGTGGCCTCCGCCTTCCTCTTTGCCCTCAGACTCTCGTGTACTGGATGTTGGCGCCTAAGAACAGGAAGTCCTAGGAGAGACAAGACAGGACAGGATGTAAAAGCACCCTCTATTCCAAAAAGATGCACCTCCATTTGTAGCTTGGCTTGTTGGCATATCTAGGACGGCAGCGTTTAGAAATGAGCTGGTCTTGAGGTTCCCCCGGGTCACTCATGGTGTCGGGGTAGAGGGCAGCGTAGCGCAGACTGTGTCAGCGACCTCCGGCTCCAGGAGAAGCGCTGCTTCTGAAGGACAGGTGGATGGCGCCGTGGCCTCTGGCATCCTCACTCCACCCCAGCCCAGGCTTTCCCAGCTGCAGGGCTGGGCTGGACCCTCACCCACTGAGCTTTGGCCTCCGAACCCAGAAAGCTAAACAATCCCCCTCCCCAAATCCTGAGACCCCGGAACCCACTGACCTTGTGGATCTGGATAACAGGGTCGTAGAACTGAATATATTTTAGCAGAGGAAGAGGGAAGCCTGTTGCCAACTTATCTGGAGGTTGAGGCACAACGTTAATAGAAATATGTTAATAACAATTATAGACAAAGATTTTTTTTTTTAAAAAAAGACCTCTGTGCAAACTTTATACACAGTATATTCTCATTTAATTAACACCAAAGACTGCGAGGTAGATATGATTATGATTCTCATTTTACAGATAAGGAAACTTAGCCACAGAGTGGCCAAGTAACTTATCCTAGGTCACACAGCTAGAAAGGGGCAGAACTGGGGTTTAACCCCAGGAAGGCTGCCACAGGAGCCGGAGCTTGCAGCAATGAGGCTACGTGGGAGTGGTAGGTTTGGGGCAGGATACACTCATGATAAGAAGCTGTGGGCATCTACCCTCCACACCCATCTTGCTTTCTATTACAGCCAGATGAAACAGGGTTAGGTCTTTATGCTTAATTTTTTTTTTTACCCTTGTTCCCATACCTACTCTCCCCTGATTGTTTAGCTCCATAAGTACATTAGTTTAAAAAAAAGACGCCTCCTATGTGTTGATAGAGTTTGTTTCTCCTTTCAAGGCTGTTAACTGGGACAGTGATCTGCCCTGGAATTTTCCGTTAGTTTAATTAATTAATTTTCCGTTAGTTTAATTAATTAATTAATGTATAGCTGTATTTTTTGTTTTGTTTTTTGTTTATTTGACTATTGTTGAAAATATTACGGATGTCCCCTTTTTATCCCCATCAATCCCATCCACCCTGCACCCACCCCATCCCCAGGCCTGCCCCACACCGGTGTCTGTGTCCATGGGTTATGCCTATAAACATGTAAGTTCTTTGATTCATCTCTCCCGGCCCACTGCCCCCTCCCCACCTTCCCTCTATATCCTTAATTTTTTAAAGGGTGTCAGCAACTGAATCAGAAACGTGAATGTAGAAGTGGGCCACCCTGTGCTCTCTGTACTACTTGGTCTTTAGCCTCTCACTTGCCACGTCAGTTCTGCGAGTCTCTTCTCTTAGAAGGAGCTTCCTGTGCCCCAAACTGCCACCCCAGTCCCCAGCCTTCATGAAGCCCTGGAGGAGATGAGGCTGACTCCAACCCTCCCACTGCAAAGACAGGCCACTGATGCCCAAGTTCTCATAGCCTGCAGGAGTACCCTGTTTCCCAGCCCCAAGGTCAGCTCCCCCCCCCCAGAACAATGGACTCAAGTCCACTCTTGACTTGGAAAAACCCATCGTGACTCTTACCATTGACCTGGGGGTAGAGGGTGTTGAGAAGGTAGTAGTTGAGCAGCGCCTCTAACAGCTCCACCTGGGGGGGAACAGGAGGATGGCATCCGGGGCCCTGCTCACCTGGGGGTCCCCGCGCTCTCCACCTGGAGGAGAACACCGTGACCCCAGGCGCCACACTGCCCACCAGTAAACCACACGGCCACCCTGGAGGGCAGGTGGTTCCGTACTTGCGGACATGGCAGAAGGCCCGAAAAAAGCAAATTTCAGATAGATACCCACATTGAGACATACACTTACATGTGTGCAAGGAGAAAAATGGTGGAAGGCTACACGCCCAACCATCTTTTCTTTAGGAAAAACGTCAAGGTTTAGCTTAGCCTTATCAAGTATTTACTTATTTATTTACTTATTATTTATTTATTTATTTACAGTGAGAGTGTTTTCCTGAATTGCTTGTGTAATACAGAAAAATTAAACAATTTTTAACACTGTGTGCCAGGTATAGGTTCGGAGCATTATGTATACCTGCTCCAATCTTCACAATAACCCCTTTAAGTTGACATCAGTGTCCCCATTTCACAGGTAAGAAAACTGAGGCCAACAGAATGAAAGTGGCTTGTTAGAAATTGGGTAGCAGGGTCTGAATTTGAATCTGGATTTATCCGATTCTATAGTTCTTGCTTTTTATTTTTTTATCCCATATTCCAAAAGCTTGATGAATAGCTTTTTGTGAGCCTTTGCTTATGTTTTACTCTATAGAACAGCTTTACTTGCCACACCCAGATACGATATTAGTGAGTCGTTACTTTTTCTCCGAAAGGAGTCATTCTTTGGGATCCCTGTAGGCAGTGTCCTTCCCCACATATTATGTGTTTATTTTCTTTTCATAAGTACTTAAGGGAAAGGCTGGGAGGAGGAGAACAAGGTGAGGGTGGTCAGAGGAGGTCAGTATCCCTGGGATGACAAAGAGGGAAACAGCTACTACAAATAAAGTCTTCCTGTCTCCTCCTTGGCCTGCGAGGAGCGGCTGCCGTCACCGCACCTCCTCTCTTTTGAGAAATGTCCCCGTGGTTGCTTCGGCCCACACCAATCTTCCCATTCTCTTGCCTCCTTTAACGGGGGGCCATCTATCTCACCACTGTTTCCGCTTTGTGGAAACCATCTCTTGGTTTTGTGTGCCCAACCATCAATTTCTCTTGTTTTAATAACAGAGTTCCTGTTTTCCCCCGGGAAACCCTCCTTCCCAATTTCAGTCCATATTGTTGGGAATTGTAAACTCTGGCTCCAGGAAACCCATCCTTGGCCGGCCTTTCTGGTCACAGTGATTGGCTAACGAATGAGCATATGGCTAAGACTGATCCAATGAGAGCTAGCACAAGGATTTAAAAAAATTTAATTTTGTAGGTTTAAAAAAATGAAACTACAGGACATCTGGGGTTTTTTTCACCAGTGGGAATAATCTGCCTGAGAAAAAAGCCAACACTGATGAGAGCAGACAGAAGGATGGAGAGGGATTCTTGATGTATTAATTTGAGCACCTGGATCCACCTCTGCCTGAAATCTGTAGCCTTACCTTTCTTCATTGCTTTTGTTGTTTTAATTATATGATTCTGCGCATTCCTCTTGCATGCTTAAGACATTTTTAGCTGGCTTTCTATTGTTGCAGTTAAAAGAGTTTGGTCCAATAGAAGATTTAATCATATATTGGCATATATTGGGATGTAACTTTTGCTTGGTCCTATGTTTTATGTGCTTGAGAGCTTCTACACTTTTCTAGGGCAGAGAGGACCTCTTCTCCTTTCCTATTTTCTACTCTTAGGCACCATAGCATTGCTCAGTAAACACTCTGAGTTAATTAATACCCCAGTCACTTCATAAATAAAAGCAATGATAACTTACATTGAATAGTCCAACTTTAGATTCTTTCAGTTCCACTTGTATCCTGTAATGAATCAGAGATGATTCAGATATGTGGGTACTATGCTCATGGGAGACTTAATCAATGTGGTGATCCCTACAAAGGAAGGCACACTGGCCTGAGAAGGCACAGGGCCAAGGGCAGGGGAGGGTGGGAGCAAAAAGGGTGACTGGGAGACTTGAAGAAGGGAGATGTGTAGTGTAAAAGAGCTCAATATTTATTTATCACTTTAGGAAGTCAGTATAGCTGATGTCTAAAATTCATAGATTAAGAAAAAGCAGTATTAGTAAATTCTGTAGAAGTTTGAAAGTAATGGGTGTTAGGTGGAAAGGAAGTTGGTGGAAGCAGGGCCAATGGAGCAAAAGAATTTGGCCAACTGGGGTAAAATTTAAGTTTTCCTCTCAAATCGTGGGCCCCTAACATTGATAGGAAGATCTGGTCACATCCCTACCTCCAGCTACAGAGAATCAGCTAGAGTCCCAGACAGAGCAAGCCCAGGTGAGTGCCCCCATGTGGGTGGGAGGCTGACTTACTTTTCAGGCTTCAGGAACCCAGTGATCTTGCTGGTGTTGAAGGTCAATGTGGCGGATACATTAGCAGTCTGGAAATTCCAGTAGAAGGAAACAGGTCTGAATGAGGGAGGTTGTCATGTACTGGAAGGATAACTATAAGGACCAGCTGTCTTCTTCAAAAACAGTTCAGTGAATTACAGCAGGAACCCATCTACTAGAATATAGACTCCCATTAGGTTCATTGTAGGTACTCGATAAATGTTTGAACTTGAACTTGAACATTTTTACTTGAAATTGTTGACTATGGTAGCAATTGAACTTTGAACAGACTACCAAGAGCAAGTGTAGAGTGCTTGTCCCTGGAGATCTCGAAAGAGATCTTTTCTAGCTACCTCAGGGCTAAGATTTAGCCCTAGTAATAATAATAATAATAATGATAATGATGATAATAATAGATTATGTTTTAATTTAAAATATATTGATAACAACAATTTTCATAACAATAATAATATCAAATTGCAGATATAGCATTTAGGTGCAATTACCCTTCCTGAAATTTGTCTTGTTGAGTTTCAAACCTAAAATAAGAGAGCAAAATTCTCCAGCCAGTAAGCAAGAGCCCCCAAAGGCTCAGAATCTCTTCTCTATAAGACAGGGTCCATTAGGAAAGGAGAGACTCTCTCAGTATTTAACTCAGAGGGAATGTAATACAGGGACTTGGTTATACAAGTGATGGAATTGCTGAGAAGCCAGAAAAAGAGCCAAAGAGGCAATTCAGAGATTAGCAGAAGCTGGGAGCTATTTCCACCCCAAGACCAAAAGAACAGAGGGAGTTGGGGTTATAGGAGCCACCATGGAGGAGACAGAGTCACTCCCCCAGTCTCTGTCCAACACAGACATAAAAATACTCTGCCTCTTCCTTCCTCCTGCACCCTGTTCTTTTAACAGTGCTTTCCACTGGCTGACCTAGCTGGATGTCAGAGTGCAAGGGGTCCTGGGAAATGTAGACTTGAGGGTCAGATATAGATAGACCCCTATACCCTCCTCCCCACAGTAGCCCAGACTCAGTTGGTGGGAGATACATACATTAAACAAACCTGCAAGCATCTCCATAAGTATATAATAAATGTAATGAAGAAAAATAATGGGGTGTTACGAGGGGCCTAAGGTAAGTTAGNTGGTGGGAGATACATACATTAAACAAATAAACCTGCAAACATCTCCATAAGTATATAATAAATGTAATGAAGAAAAATAATGGGGTGTTACGAGGGGCCTAAGGTAAGTTAGGGTAAGAGCAATCAAGAAAGGCCTCCTTGAGGAAGTGATACTCAAGTGGAGGCCTGAGGGAACCGGACAGGCGGTGAGTGGGGGAGCGCACCCAGGGGAAGCAAGAGCGGGTGCGGAGGGGGCCTCACCACGCCAAGCCGGAACACAGGCTCCCTGCCCGCGGCAGGCAGGAGCGCGAAGGCCTCGATGTCCATCTCGGGTGCCAAGGACAGGTTCCCAGGGCTGAAGCTCACGGCAGGGGCAGAGACCACTCTTCCCTGGAGCTCCAAGTTCACGTCGGGGTAGCGTCTGGCTAACTGGGGGCAGAGCAAGGAGACCATGTCAAGAGAAGGAAACATGCAGGTTTCCAGGGGAGCCTGGAGAGGGTCCGATAAATCTGAGGCTGCTTTTTGGTTGATTTTATTTCCTTGAAACGCCCTGTGCCTTTTTCTCTTAGCGGCGTAGAGGGGCACCTTTCCATGTCAGACCTGCAGCGGGCCTGTCATCCGTTTCATGCCTGCGCTGTGTCGCGTGCACACGGGCGCTGTCATTGGCCTAACCCTCCTGGGCACCGAGTGGTCTCTAAGGTTTTGCCATTATAATGGCCACTCCCTGGGTCCCCTGGGCTCTTGCTTGGGGGGAAACGTTCCTAGAAGTGGAATTACTGAGTCAAAGGGCAGGGACAGGAGCTGCCCGTTCATTCACTGCCCACTGTCTCCGGGCCTGGGTGGGAGCTGTTGTCTCCGCGCACTCTCATCGCAGCCCGGTGACTGTCTGAACAGAGAGAGGGCACTGATGCTCCTGGAAGAGGTCACGACGACTAGAACCCTCCATTCCAGAAGTGCTCATAGCCGTCTGTCTAACTAGAGGTAGGTATGGGGTTTAATTGGGGGCAGGACCGGTCCTTTTTGGGGTGAAGTTGGTAAGAGAACAATAGCCCCAGGAGCCCTCAGTTGTGCAAATACAGAACCTACATTCTGTTGTAAGAGGGAGATGTTTAGGAAGTTGAGGAGGTAGACCTGTTGGCTAGGAAGGTGGGCCTAGGAAGGTGGGCCGAGTGGCTCTCTGCCAGGCTGACCATGATGCTAACAGGAAAGGGGGGGAGAGTTGGCTCCTCCCTCTGGAGCAAAAGCGATGTTGGAGCCAGGATGTGGCCAAGGGTTCTCCCAAGCTAGTGGGGCAGGAGGCGGGGACAATGTGGCAGCAGGTGGGACCATCACGGGGCTCTACGGAGAGCAAGAGCAGTAGGCAGCCCCGGGTGGAAGGACATAGCCCAGGACTGCAGCACCTGAAGTTTAAAAAACATCCACCCATTATAATCCCCCCAGGCACCATCGAGCTCTCTGCAAGCCTGTTACACTGCAGCCTGTCTGACCTGTTGCCCAGGGACTCAGGAGGGGGCAGAACAGGTGGATTTCTGGGGCATTAAACAAGACACTGCACATGAAGAGCTTCGCCCAGCAGTGACGGAGCCGCGAGGTTATTCACTGCAACACTGACGGAGCCAAAGGCTGGGGCGACCTCCACGTCCTTCCGTGGGAGACAGGTAAAGAGGCTCAGGCCACCCGCGCAGTGGCAGACGGGCGCCCACGCAGGCAAGAGTGAGGATCTACTGGTAAGGAACGATCTCCCGGTACAGAGCGGGAAAGAACAACATTCAAAACGGTATGTATAACATGCCCCCAATTGCGTAAAAAAATGGACGGAAGACACACACATTTGTTTATACATACCTCGAGCATTCCCGGAGGGGGTATACACTGATAGTGTTGGTAGGCTCAGGGTGGGACCTGGGTGGTTAGGGGACAGGAGCAGACGCGAGACTTTCCATTCTATAGCCTTTTATGTCATTTGAATGTTGAACTATGAGAATTTATTATGCAGTCATAAAATAATTTTTTAAAGCACCAGGAACAGTGTCTGGTCCCTAGTAATAATTGATGTTATCAATTAGGGAACATGTTGTGGGACGTGTTGGCATTCCGTGGGATTCCCAGATAGCACCACGGAAAGACTGGGAGACCCGGGGCTCAGGCCTGTGCTCTGTGGGCTTTGAAGGGAAGGAAGTCCCAAGACCTACAGCACTCTGGCCTTTATTGGGGGGCTTGTTGCTCGTCTTCTGACACTTGGTCAAGCTGAGAGGAGCATGGAGGTTTTANCAACCTGCGGTCCCAGGAGACCCGGGGCTCAGGCCTGTGCTCTGTGGGCTTTGAAGGGAAGGAAGTCCCAAGACCTACAGCACTCTGGCCTTTATTGGGGGGCTTGTTGCTCGTCTTCTGACACTTGGTCAAGCTGAGAGGAGCATGGAGGTTTTAAAGAGAAACCCTTGAGGGGTAGCCTGCACCCACCGAGGGCCAAGGGGAGCCTTACCCGGGGGGCGAAGGCGCGGAAGGACTTGGTGGTCAGTCGGATGTTAGAGGTGGGTGGAACCTGCAATAAAGAGACACAGGGAAGTTTCAGGGTGCTCCTTCCAGAGCTGAAGGTCTAAACAGAAAGGGGGCGGTGTTTAGGACTGGAACTTCTCGAATGCCCAGGGCTACCATGGCAGTGACAAGATGCCTGTCCTGAACTCAACAGGAATACATGAGTACATGAGCACTCTGCTCTCCTTGGGGCACAGGGGATACTCGGGACCCACTCAGAGGGTTCATGAAGGTGAAATTTGCAGTCACACAGACCTAGGTTTGGCTCCTAGCTTTGTCACTGTGTGGTCTCAGGCCAGCCCCTTCACCTCTCTGGATTTCAACTTCCTCACCTGTAAAATGGGTTAATAATAGTCCCCACCTCTCAGGTCATTGTGAGGGCTCAGTGAGATGGTGGGTACAACACATCTGGCACAAGGCCTAGCATGTAGGATGCAGCACCGGTGGGATGGGTGAGCCAGGTGTGATGATGGAAGGAAAGGCCTGTGCACATGTGAGAAATCATTCAAAGGGGAAAAAGTCACTCCAGCCATCTGCCAGGTCGTCCCGATTTATTACCGGGGGAAGATGGATCATCCAAATTGGACCACCCTATATTTCCCCCACCATCCTGACATTGTTCACAGGCTACAAGAGCTATAAGAAATAACTTTCTGAAATCCGGAAATATTGAAGAGATGAGAAATATTAAAGATGTGATCCACTATAAAACTTAGTATCCTTTATACAAAGCTACAATTGAGAGAGTTGTTTTAGAGATAAGTGCTCGGAAGACTTTGTCTCTCCTTTTTACCATAAATCACAAAATTGTGTACCCTTTTTACATTGACTACAAGGAAGCTCCCAGACATATTTGTGATATAAAAAAAATCAATTCATGGGTCCATTGTCTTCATAATTGTGTTTTACTTTTAACTTGGTCTTTATTTACAATTCTATATAACTTCATGCATTTCATTTTCTAATTTTTTTTTTTTTAAAAAACAAACCTCCAAAACCATCAGAATGAGAGGAAATAATGAATTCGAATAATGGGTTTAGACTAGGGGGAAAATAAAACACAGACAAGCAAATCACAAAGTCTTTTCAGTTGTTATAAGAGAGAAAGAACTTTGATTTTGAGCTTCCTGGCAGCCAAAGTGAAAAGGGAAATTGTGCTAACATATTTTTTCTGGTCTTTATCTTTTTTCTTAGTCATAACTTATTATTTCACTGATATAAATGGGGTAGAAAGATAAGAAGGAAAGGAAGCCAGGTTACACTGTCACTTGTAAACATTATTCTGTCTCCATCCTCACCACATCATCTGTGATGGAGAAGTTCAGATACCCTGCCTCATGATATACTAGGCTGGCTGTGTTGAAGACATAATCAGAGATGGCAAAGTAGACCATTCGATTGTGTTCCTCAGGAAGGCTCATGACAGGAGCAAGGAAGGCAACTGGGGAGCGATGATCACGGTTAAAAAATTCAGCCTGGAGAGAGAAAATAAGGTTTATTTGAATTTTCGAAGTTTATACCACAGCTGGACATCTGAGCTAGGTAGTCACCTGTACAGGCTGATGAGGAGGCACTGGCTAGAGACACTGCCTGAAACTCCACCGTTAAAGACATTTTCCTTTGGGTCAAAGTGTTGCATATCCAGAATCCCTTAATAAAAAACTCTCCAGCTTTGGTGTATTAACCCACAAAATCTACTGGCCAGACCAGACCCTCTGACTGAACTCATCTGCATGGTGGGCAAGGTGAAGGAGAGGGAGAAAAGGGAGAGGAAGTGATAAGGCCTGAGAGTTTTCAGACACTTGTGAGAGGATCCTGGCTCTGGGAACACTCCCCACCACTCCATATTGCCCTGCCCTCAACACAGCTGGAACCATGGGACGATGAGGACAAATCTGAAACCAGGGGGACAGGAGACTCCAAGAAAGAGCTGCTCCTGAGGGATGAATGTCATGCTGAGTCAGGACCCACCCAAACCCCTGTTCTAGCATCCTCACCTTCAACATCACATCCAGCATTTGGGCTGCTGCCTGAGGGGCCTCCATTAAGCTGTAATCAATGCCAGCAAAACTGTCAATCTCTGTTGTGACTGTGAATCAGGGAAGGGGCAGAGTTAGGAGCCAGACATGGAGAAGGGGTGAGGGCTCTGACTGACCTACACTTTTGTGATTTTCTTCAGAGCCCTCTGCCCCTCTGCCTCAAGACCCTCCACCCAGCCCAGCGCTAGGGCAAAGGGCTGCTTTGCAAGGAAGAGACCAGTTGGGTTCTCTTGTCCCACTGTGGATTACCCATGGAGGAGGGGTGCTATGCTCAGCCTGAGGCTTGAGTGGGTTCTAGGGATACACACACACACACACACACACACATCCTGAGGGCAGGAGGAGCCCAGGTCCGGCAGCCCATTCACACCTGGAGCTTCATGCCAAGGAAGCCATACAGTGGATGAGGGGAATTCTCTAACCAAGGCTATTGCTCCCCAAGTTTATAGCTGAGGCCTTGGTCTTAGGGGAAACTGGCCTCCTGTCAACACAAACCAAACAACAAGGAAGGTCAGGCATGTCCGGGGGGCTCAGACACTTCCCCTTAATGCCCGAGGAACAGGAGATCTGTGTCTCACGCACTGGGCTGTCTGTGCCTGCCTGGGCCTCCACTGGAGGGGGATGTCAACAAGTGAGTGTAGGGACCTGGGGGCCATGCCATCAGAGGACACCTCAGACAATTTGTCAGAGACGTGTGCACCCTAGATCAGGGTCTCCACTTTCGAGGACTGTTCTACGGGTGCGCTTACATGTGCAGGCACAGAGGTTGGATGAGGTGCCTCCTTTCCCATATTGGCGCTAGCAAAGGAGGGCAACGTGCCTACATGTCCGAAGTCTGGGGACTTATTAAATGAAGACACGTCCATAGGAGGGAACACTGCAGGGCTACTAAAATGAAGTCTGTCACAACTCCTTCGGAAAGATTTTGGCAGAATCTTATGATGCTGAAGCTATGCATACCATGTGAGCCTGCAACTTTACTCCTAGGTATAACCCAAAGACATGCGTCACATAAACTCGAATATTCATAGCAGCACTACACATAAAGGCCTAAAACTGAAACTACCCAAATGACCTTCAACAGTACAATAGGTAAGTAAGTGGAGGGATGTGGACACGGTGGAATATTACACAGCGAGAGAATGAATGAACCCATTATATGCAACAATATGGACCAAACTCAGTTTAAGGTTGAACAAAGAGGTCCTTTGCTTTTGATGAACGACTTTAAATGCTGCCAGGTTCCATTCATGGACAAAACGCGAAACTAAACTTTGCTGGCAGGAGTTGAGCGGTGGGTAGCGACAGAAGGAGACACGAGGTGGGGGGGCCCTGAAAGATCAGTCACATTCTGCATATTGATCGGGGAGCTGGTATGTATGTATTCAGTTTGTGAAAATTCTTTAAGCTGTTCACGTATGATGTGAGCACTTTTCTCTAAGTATTAACTTCCACAGGAAAGTTTTTTAAAAATGAGATCAATTTATATGTGCTGATATAGAAAGATCTCCAACATGTACAAATTACAAAAGGGCAATGTCTTTACTGTATAGATTAATATATATTAATAATTATGCACATACACACATATTAATGAAGACAGGAATATATGTGAATGTATATTCATATGCTCATGTCTATGTCTATTTGTATATGCAAAGAAAATGTCTGAGAGGAGATATCCAACACAGAGGTTACCTCTTGGAAGGAAATTTGGGGGGGAAAAGGGGTTTTCAATTTTTACTTTCTATACTTCTGTCCCATTTAAGATTTTATAAGATACTTATATGCTCTTGTAAGAATTAATAGAAATAAACTGTCCTGGGGAGGGCACCCCACCTGGCAGAGTTTGGAGATAACGTTGTAGGTCAGAGGTCACCGATTCCTGGACAACTTCACAAATCTGAAAACGATGGGAGAGGAAGCCTGAGTGAGTTCCCTGGCTTTGGTGTGGCGTCATGCTAATTGCTTTAGTCACATTATTTCACATATTTGCCCACTGATCACTGATCCTACAAGAATGTGTAAGTACTTATTATGGGCCAGGTACTGAACAAGTAGAAACAATCAGAAACACTTAGGTCCCCCATGGACCCCAATAGGGTCCAATTGGACCTTCCAAAGTCGATCCCAGGGCTGGACACCTGAGTTAGGTAGTCACCTACACAGCCTGATGAGGGGACATTGGCTGGAGGCACTGCCCCAAACTCCATCATTAAAGACCTTCCCTTTGAGAGGCCCTGGACTCCCAGAATTTAGAGTGGAATCGCAGAGCCAGATAGTAAGTAGATATAGCCATCCAAATAAGTGTATACTTAATGTAGGTACTTCTCAAACGTCATCACGTCACAGGTTGGCTGGATTGACTAATGTTCTCTGTTTTCCCTGACACATTACAACATGGCAGCGGGGTGCCGGGGGAGACTGGCATGTTTCCCAAACTCACCTCGGCCCCAGGACCCCAGAATAAGAAAAGGCACAGAATGCGCCTTGCCACACCCCCTGTGGGGTTGCCTGCTGCTCCAGCTCAGCCGACAGGGGCACTGAAAGCCAAGGCAGACCCCGGACTACAGTGCAGGGGTGTCAGTGTGTAACCCCCCCCCCAGTCCTCGCTACAGACACAGCTCCTGGTGTATGATGCCTCCCTCTGACACGGGAGTTTGGAGTGAAGCGAGTATTTGGGAAAACAGGTGAACATGAAACCTCTTTGTTTTAGCCAAAGATTCAAAAATTTGGAGATTTCACATAATTCTCTTTTATGGGAAAAACTGACACTATCGCTGCCTTCCCATCCAAGGCAGGTGCTCACGAGCTGCCCGGGTAGGCACCGGGGTTCCCACCTGTTCACACACTCAGAGTTTCCCGCCTGGTCTCTGCAGCCACCTAAGTGCTGATCTTCCCTGTGGCCTTTGTGGAATGCAGGGCAGTGGGGGCCAGTGAGCCAGATCAGGCAGAGGGTGGGGTGGGAGTCTGCTTGGTCCTGCTTTCTACATTTGGCCAAGCATCTAACCATTCCCTGCTTTACAGGACAGACTCAGAGTCCAGAGACTGACGTTTGGCCTCAGCTTACACACCAGCTCTGTGACCTTCGGCAGATGATTTGTCCTCTCTGGGCCTTGGGCTCAAGCCAGACTTGCGTGGCTCAGACAGCCTTACCTTGCTCTCCAATATTTTTTTGAGTCTGGACTCGATCTGCCTGTGGAAGAGATCCAGTAGCCACCTGGGGAAGGGAACACAGTGGATGGTCAGCTGTGGGTCACTGAACACGGTGACAGTGGGACAGCGGGGAAAGCCAGGCTCTGGGTTCTCGCCAGGCCAGTTCCGGAGGGCGCCCTCCCTACCCCATCCTGGTACCCTGTTGTTTCCCAGAGTTGCAGCTCCCAGCACACTCACTGACTCAGGGCATCTGGCATCCCATCCCCCTGCTGGGCCCCAAGCAAATTCAGTAGATTGTGGGGAGGGGCTCACAAATCCACATTTTCCTAATCAAGGACATTTGACTCAGAGAGACTCCCCCAAGGGCTTGTATACTTTTCATAAACTCTTCTTTGGCCAAAAGCCCTGGTGTCCCTCCAATAGCCAAATTTCATTTGCCTGATGGTAGTTCCTGAAGTTCTTTGATGGAAATGGCTCACCAGTACTCCTGGCTTGAATCTGCATCTGTTCATCTCAGTAGGTCCCCAAATAATATTCCCCAAGTGCCCATGAGGTGCTCGTGCATTAGCCTGGAACTTTATGCTTGTCAGAGGCCAGGCCTTAGGCTGGCTGGACCTTGGGCTACAACAAGGGGGTCAAGCTGGCCACTGTCCCAGGGGTGACCTACCCCAAACTTTTTGATATGTCCACATCCATGTCACAGATGTGGCTGCTGCAGCTGGAGGCAGTGACCGTGGGCCTCCCAGAAGGCTCGCTGCCCAGGTTGAGGTTGACGGAAATGATGCCCTCGACCCGCACATCAAAGGAGCCCCGGAGCCTCCTGGAGGAGATGAGAGAAGCCATGGTGGATTCCTAGGCTAGGGTCAGCCACCATTTGGAGGAAAGTACAAAATCTGAAGCCCAATTCTCACCCCCAAAATTAGTGGAGCTGGAGCAAAAATTTAATTACAAAAAAGTATTACAAATATTTATTACAAAGCAAATATTTATTACAAATAAGTCCATAAAAGATCTATAAGAAAGCCTGGTTTTGCTTGTTTATAGTCAGGGATGGGCAAAGGCCCTTCTAGGCAGGATCCAGCTCTTAGAAGCCATAAAGGAAATGGTTGATACACTTGCCAACACAGAAAATTAAAACCTCAGTTAACAAAGAATGCCAAAAGCAAAGTAAAAATAAAAACCACACACACACACACATACACACACAAAACTGCATTGTGAGTGAGCCAAAGAGCTAATTTCCTTAATAGGTGAGCTAAAATACGAACGAATTTCCTTAACATATGAGCTAATTTCCTTAATACACAAAGAACAAGCTTATATTAATTAATAAGGAAAGGACAAAACAACCAAAAAGAAAAAAAATAAAGAGGTCAAAGGTATGAACAGGAAGTTGGATTGCAAATAAGCATGTGAAAAGTTATTAACAATAGAAATCACAATGATGCCAGTGTCCACGCATCAGACTGAGAGAGCTTTTGAAGCGCGAGCCCTGGTGCTGGGGAGGCGTAGGCAGGCCGGGGCCCCAGGCGCCGAGGCCGGGTGGCATCTCTGGAATTCGGGGTCTCACCTGGTGACACACGCACCCCTCTGGGCCAGTAATTTGACTTGTAAGCCTTTGCTCTGGGGCTCTCCTGGCCGAGATGGACGTGTGGGGCAGAAATGTCATAACAGCAAAGAGAGAGAAAACGACCTACACGGGTCGACTAACAGGGACAGTAAGTTGTGGGCACCAATGGGGCACAGCCTTTAAAAACAGCAAGCCTGCCCGGCCGGTGTGGCTCAGCAGTTGGAGCATCGCCCCATCAAGGGAAAGGCTGAGCGCTGGATTCCCCATTCCCGGTCGGGGCTCATACCTCGGTTGCGCGTATGGGAGGGAGCAGGTGATGTCTCTGTCTCTCCCTCCCTCTCCCTCTAAAATCAATGAACATATCCTTGGGTGAGGGTTTAAAAAAATAATAATAAGGCCAAAGGTGGTCTAACTATATGATGGAATCGTACTCATCCATAAAAAGGAATCGAGTCCTGATTCGTGCTATAAAATGTGATGAATCTTGAAAATATTATGCTAAGTGAAAGAAGCCAGACACAAAATGGCACACACTGCATGATTCCATGTGTATGAAATGCCCCGAATAGGCAGGTCTGTAGACAGAAGACAGAAGGCAGGCTGGTGGTCGCCTGGGGGTGGCCGAGGGGGAAGTGGGGAGTGACTGCTTAACCGTACGGGGTTATCTCTTGGAGTGACAAAAATGTTTTGGAACTAGATACGGTGGTGGTTGCACAGCATTGTGAATGTACCAAATGCCACTGACTTGTATCCTTGAAAATGCTTAATGTTCTCTTCTGTGAATTTCACCTCAACAAAAATATTACTTTGAAAAAGGGTTTAAAAAATGAGGTAGATCTTCACATGCTTATATGAAGAGATCTTGAATTTATTTCAGTGGAGAAAGAAGGGCAGAAGAGTGTGGCCTGATTTTTTTTTCAAGGAAATGTAATGAACGTGCATATATAGGTGACATATATACTGAGCATCTTTCTAAAGTACTGTCGTCCAATAGAAATATAATGTGAGCCACATTGGTCGTTAAAATATTCTAGTAGCCATGTTAAAAAAGGCAAAAAGAAAGAGCAATCAGCCCAGCCGGTGTGGCTCAGAGGTTGACCCTGGAGGTTCGATTACCAGCACAGGCCCTGGTTGGGGGCTCGATCCCCACTAGGGGGTGTGCAGGAGGCAGCCGGTCAACGATTGTCATCACTGAAGTTTCTCTCTCCCTCTCCCTTCCTCTCTCTGAAATCAATAAAGACATATTTTTTAAAAAAAGAGTAATTAATTTTAATTATCATTTCAACATGTGATCAATATAAAAATTATTAATGAGATTTCTTGTGTTCTTTTTGGCACTAAAATCTTCAAATCTGGGGTTTCACACGACAGAGATCTCAATGATCCCAGCCGCTTTTCAAGTACTCAGCAGAGGCATGTGGCAGAAGCTCCTGTGCAGACACAGAGAAGGGATAAAGTGGAAGCACAGCCAGGCCACCCAGAAGAGACCCGCAGCCCTCTTGTCATGGGCTGAATTGTGCCCCGCCCCCAGCCCATATGCTGACAGCCTCAACCCCAGTACTTCAAAATGTGACTATATTTGAGACAGAGGCTTTAAAGAGGTGAGTAAGTTAAAAGAAGGCCACTAGGGTGGGTCCTAATCCAAACTAACTGGTGTCCTTGTGAGAAGAGGGGTTAGGACACATGCAGACACACCCAGGGTGCACGCACACAGAGGGATGACCATGCGAGGACACAGAGAGGTGGCCATCTGCAAGCCAAAGAGAGAGGACTCAGAAGGAATTAGACCTTCTGACACCTTAATCTTGAACCCCTAGCCTCCAGAAGTGTGAGAAAAAAATTTCTGTTGTTTAAACCACGAGTCTGGGATATTTATTTTTGACAGCCCTGCAGACAAATCCCAGCTCCCATCCAAAGACCTTGGAGGTTCAGAGTGCTAGAAAGTTAGTGCCCGGGGAGGCCCTTGACCAATGGCAATAGGAAGATGGGGTCACCTCTCTGCCCTGGTGCGCCACCCACACTCTGGAGGCTCTCAGGACTGTCTTCCTTCCCTTCCTGCCTCACTTCCCCAAACCCCTATGGACGCTTCCTTAGATCACTCCCCAGATGAAATACTCAGCTTGAACTCTTGCCTTGGGGTCTGCTGCTGGGGGAAGCAAACCAAGAAAACACAATATTATCCCATTTAGCTCGTGGTCAACCCCATCAGGGAGGTAGAAGATGGGAAGAGAGTGGTCCAAGAGCCAGGACTTGGAACCTGGGGGAGGCCTTGGGCTCCCTCCACCCACCATGCGACCTTTACAATGAGCTCATGGCTCCTTGAACCCAAGAAGAATGGGACCAAGGGCCTGAGAGCCTGGGAGCTGAGCCAACTTACAGGAATGACTTGCGCACCTTCCACTTGCCATCGACCTGGATGGAGGAGTCGGAGATGGACAGACTGAGGCCCTGGCCGGGAAGGGGTGTCAGAGCAGAGCCTAGCAGCTCACAGCTGCGGATGTTCAGGCTGGGGAGAGAGACGTGGAGGGAGCATCAGCCCTGGCTTGGGTCCAGCCTCAGCAGGGGTCTCGATCCCACCTCTGTACCTTTCCCCCGGGGGTGGTGGGGGGGACTGGACCAGCAGGGCTGCTTCAGGCAGGCGCCTGGTTACCCGCATTTACCAAGTGCCTGCTGCATGTCCCACACCAACCACACAGCCATGCTAAGCACCTTATGTCCATGGTGTCACTTAGGCCTCCCAGAGGCGGTCAGCACTGTTCTGTCCCTTGTCACAGAGGAGGAAATAGAAACTCAGGGAAGGAGTGCATTTGCCAAAGCCACACACTCAGGACCGGAGCCCATGAATCTAACAAACCTGGGTGGGATCTGAGTATGGCCCATGGACACCCCCACCCCGGGTTTGCACCTCCCCCCACCGCCATNCCGCCATCCCCTCCCCTGACACATTCAGATGGGGGGGAGTCAGATTCACGGAAGGCCGAGTGCAGCTGGAGTAAAGATACAAAAAGGGCTGCGGGCAGCAAACCAAGATGACACACTATTGTAGGCCGCCAGAGGGAAAAGAATGGTCAAGTTCCACTTTATTTGCCTAGTAATGAGTAGGTGCTCAATAAATGTTTGCTGATGGACTGAATAAAAGAAGGAAGGCAGGCGGCAGGCGGCAATGGTGATGAGCGGGGAGGAGGGGTGAGCTGTGGGCTCAGCTGCCCTCCTTCCTTGTCCGCCCCTCAAAAACTGTCTCATGCCTTTTTTTTTTTTTTTTTTTTTTTATGATGTTTCAGCTCATCCACCATACACCATGTGCTTTAGAGTGAAATTCTACCCACATGAACCCCTGAAGATTAAAGAAGAGCTCACAAGGTATTTTTCGTNTTGAAGATTCAGCTCAAATGACGCTTCCTTTGGGAAGCCTTCCTTGACTTCCCCAGATGTACGAACTTCAGCTCAAACAATTGGGCTACTGTACCTAAAGTTTAAGGTTTATCTTCCCTTCCAGACTATATCCAAGGCTCAGACCGGAGCCTGGATTTCTATTACCCAAAGGAGTTAGCAGTGTCATTCCCATTTCACAGATAAGGAAACTGAGGCTCAGGTCCACAGTTGGTATGTCTTCATTAATATTTGTTTCATGTGCGAATAAAGGAGCCCAATTCCCTCCCAGAACTTCCCTCTGAACTCTGAGCAACTATCCCACTGTCTGTTCCAGAGGGGCCCTGACCCAATCCTGGGGCTCTCCCTCCCTCTCCAGGCTCCCACCCCTGCCCAACCAGGCCAGGGCCCCAGCAGAGGGGAGCCCCACCTGTTGAACTCATAGTTCCCACGTCCAACATGGTTGATCTTGAACTCCCCTGTGAAGTCGGGCAGCGAGATTCTGTGCAGCTCACTCTGCAGGGCCACCAGCCCCTCCTTGGCCACTGCGGACAGAAAGAAGCTAGGAGTCAGCCTAGTCTGCCTGCCACCCTCTCCTCCAATCCCTTCAGTGTCTCCCACCTGACCTGGGGAGAGAGGACTACTTCAGACACTAATCACAGTTATGGGTTATTGAGCCCTTCTGCATACCTGCTGGCTTGAGAAACGCACAGGGCATCAGGGCATGACACGTGGCATGTGCCCATTTTATGGATGAGGAAAACGAATGCCTGTGTCAGCAACTTCACGAGGAAAGAAGGGCTGTGTGCTCGTGCGGGAAGTTCTCTTTCCTGTCCTTCATGTCATCTAGCCTGAGAAGAAGCTGTAAGGATTTTAGGGATAGAATCCTGGCTTTGGCATCTTTCTAGCTGGGTGACCTTGAACAAGTCCCCAACCTTCACTTCCTCCATCTGCCAAAACGCAATGATAATACTTTCCTCACTGGGGTGCATGAGGATGAAAGGAAATCACTGCAGAGCACAAAGGGGCTGGGAGGCTCAAAAGCACTCCTGGCTTGGTGCCTGGCACTCAGCAGGCACTCAGCGATGCCGGGAAAAGCAAGGCGGGTTTACATATTTAAAATACAGAAAGGACCAAAAAGTCCAACTCCAGAGGATCAGTTAAATAAACACGGTACATTCACATGAGGAAAGGAACAAAAGGCAAATTTTGCTTGATTTAGGGTTTCAGTATAACCAGGACCTTCTGCTTGTTCTGAAATAGGAGGGAGCCAGGATTCTGCCCTCAGGGAGGGCACGAGTACACCAATGAACAGTCTAACTCTTCCCAACTTGCATTTCTCCCTTTAGCAAAAGCAGGTGCCAGTGTCTGTGCCAGAATGCTACCTCCTTGTCTCTGGCTAACTCCCACTTATCTTTTCTACCTCACCTCCTGCAGGAAGAATTCCCTGATTTCCTTCTCTCTGCCCCCTCTTCCTCCCCAGCCACTCTGGGCTCCCAACAAACCTACCTGAGGGAATGTTACTACCCCATTTAATAGATAAAGCAATTGAGGCTCCATGAATATGAGGAGCTTCCCTTGATCAATTACTGTGGGGAGCGGTGTATAAATACTCCAGATCTCTTGCCCCATGGATGGATTAATTCTGAGGCATTGTTTCAGCATCTTTTATTTTATTTTTAAATATGTTTTTATTGATTTCAGAGAGAGGAAGGGAGAGAAAAGGAGGAAGAGAGAGAAACATCAATGATGAGAGAGTCATTGATCGGCTGCCTCCTGCATGCTCCCAACTGGGGATCAAGCCAGAAACCCTGGCATGCGCCCTGACCAGGAATTGAACTGTTCATAGGTTGATGCTCAACCGCTGAGCCACGCTGGCTGGACTGCTTAAAAAATACTCCTACTTTGCCCATTCTTTAAAATGGAGATATAAGATACATAAAGTACCTAAAGGGCACTAATCTCAAGGGATTGCTAGGTAACTTTAAAGTTTTTATACATACATGTAACCATATTCCCAGCACCCTGCAGGCTCCTTCTGCCCCGCCCGGGTCTCCAACGGCCTCCAGAGGTAACCACCATCTGACTTCTAGTTTTCAGGCCTATATTTTCAAACTTCACCAAGAATTTTCCCAGGGGAACTGTTGCAATCACTGGGTGGTGGTGGTTTAATAGCATCCCCCTCTTGCCCTCCTTCCCTTTCCCATCTCCTGTTTCCTCTCCCTGTGGTGTCCTGGAATCATCTCCTAAATCAACTACTTGCACCCAAATCCTTGTCTCTGTTGGCTGCCGGGAACCCGGCTAAGGCAAGTACGTGCCCGAGTGACCCAGCGGTTGGGTGATGAGGCCCGAGTCTGAGCCGGTCCCCCTGACCAGAAAGGCCACCCGGGACTGGGCCTGCGGAAGAGCACCCTTTCTGTGCCCTGCCGGTACCCAGGGCAGCCTGGTGCCAAGAGGGTCAGCCAGTCCAGCCGACAGCCAACACTTCTTACCATACTCCAGACCCTTGTCTGTGATCCTGACGACCAGGCCGGGGTTGGCACCCAGGGCCCCTGGGGGGGACGTGAGCAGCAGTGCCAGCAGCAGAGAGGGCAGGGCCCTGGCGCAGGCCCCCATCCTGGGTTCCAGGTGGATGGGCCAGGGCTGTAGCTAGTGCGGGCTGGGCCCAGCTCCCTTAAATAGCTGCGCCTGAGGGCTGGGGCAGCTCCAGTGTGGGGACCGGTTCCTGGAATCAGGACTGGAGGAGGTGGCACGGGGACTGGAACCTGCTTGCAACACCGTTGGGGTCATGGGTCATACTTAGAAGTCCACTGCTGCTGCCCGGGGTTAGAGGGTGGGTTGGCTTGGCCCCAGGTGGCAATATCTGCCCACCCTTCCTACAGAAAGACCCCATGTTCATTGCTAGGAAGGCCCGTTTTACAGCCTAGGAAACTGAGGCTCAGAGAGGCCTCATCACATGCTCAAGATCACACACCGAGCAAATGGCAGAGCTGAGAGTCAAAGTCAGTCTGGCACCATCCAAATGATCTCGTCTCTATACTCAACCCTGTTTACTTAACAAAGAGGCATCCCCACTCCCACCCCACCATGGGGAAACAGGTTTTTTCAAACCTTGGTGGTAGTAAAATTCTAGGGAAGGTAACTTGGCAAATCATTAAACACCGCCCGCCCAGTGACCCAGTCATTACACAATTCAGTTTACAAATATGTCACTGCACCCAGATGCCCATCGCTGCGCTATGTGAAATAGACAAGGGAGGAGGGGGACCCAACCTAAGGAGTCCGACAAAAGGGCGTTGGCTAAATTAACGATGATACAGCCATCGAAAGTGAGGCCGCAGAAACCAATGCATTTCTTGATAAGGAAAGATGGTGATAAAGGGTCGGCTTAGTTCTATTTCTTTGTTATATTCCCATGTCTACCAATCAGGAAAATTCTTAGCAAGGAGTTAGGAGGGACTGTCTCCAGTGGGATGGGCAGGATTATAGGTATTTAAATCTTTTTGCTTGTTGGTATTTAAATTTTTTATTTTGGGAGGAGCATGGTCCTGGGTATATATTGTATTTGTAGTAAGTAGGGATTGTGCTAAATTCATAGGGCTCCCCCAGGCCTCCCTATCTTTGTGAGCTTTGTTCTACCCCCACCTCCAGGAAGCCTTCCCTGATCACCCCCACGTTTCCTTGGATTAGAGAAAGATCTCCCTCTGAGGTTCCAGAATTCTCTGCACCTCCTCCATCATAGCGTTAACCATTCTCTGCTTTTTCATACCTGTGGTCCTTTAAAAATATGCACAAAAATTCTTTGCTTCTTCTCCCATCAAAAGGTGGAGGCTCTTTGGCCTCCCCTTGAAATTGGGGGGGGGGG